TATATATAGCTAGATTGTATAAAGTGAGAATTTCATGCAAGCATGATAGGAAACAATAGGCTAGATGAGATTAGAATAAACAGCCTAAACAAGTAAACAGGATCAAGAAGGCCAAAACTAAACTTTAGAGGCAAGCCTCAATAAATAAGCCAAATGATTTATCCAGAATAAATTGAAATGCCATTGGTTTAATTTAGTGTACTGGGAGAACGTTCCTAATATTGAGTCCAAATGGTGAGGTTGTTTTAAGTAAAAGTTTCCAGTGATTCTCTTTATCTTTGCGATTTTTGTCGCTCCAATTGGCATTATGGTCAATTTCAATCACTCTGAAATTTGAAATTGAATGACCAGCTAAATTGAAATGTTCGGCTACTGGTTGATCAAGCCTAGATGTTCTGATAGCTGATCTATGTTGTGTCATTCTCATACGGAGAGTGTTTTTTGTTTCTCCGACATATTGTTACCACAAATATTACAATATATGAGATAAATGAGATTTTTGGTGAGGCAATTAATTGATTGCCTTATCCGAAATATGTGGTTTGTTTGGTTGCTCTTGAATGATTGTGTAGAATCAAGCAAGGAGCATGTTTTGCATGATGATCAACAAAGATGTCTACCAAAATTACGGTTGTCGCAAGAGTTAGTTTGCCTCTTGAATTTTGATCGTACTAATATATCACGAAGGTTAGGTGGTCTGCGATAGGCTATGAACGGTGTATCCGGAAAAACAGACCTAAGACGTTCTGTGGTCTGTTGAATGGGCATATGTTTCTGAAATATAGCCCTTAGTGGTAGTAATCTAGGGTGATAAGTAGTGACCAGTGGCACTCTGGTCGATCGTTGACGTGGTTTGTACTTCAGTGTTTGAGCACTAGGTATGTCCTTTGCTTTTTTTTTTTTATAGCATTTTCAATGGGTCCTCGATGATAATTTCTATTCCGGAGATGTCCGGATAGTTCTTCTGTTCGATTCTGAAAATCTATATCTGAAGAACAAATGCCTCTCATGCGCAATGCTTGGCTGTACGGAATGTTTTTTTTTTGTACAGTGCGGGGGGTTCATATATATATATATAATATATGAAAATGATATTTAGATGTCTATTCGATATTTTTGCCTTCATACCATTACTTGAATGTGATATTTAATTTATGTCTAAGTTACCTGTATACTTTTCTAATTTTTCTTGATGTTTCTTTATTTTTTTTTTACTTTCTCCATTATATTAATTTTCTGTTCTTTTTTATTTCTTTTCCCTTTCCAGTTTTTTTTTCCTTTCCGTTCTTTGTTTTCTTTTCATTAATTTTTTCCCATTTTTTCCCTTTCAATATTTACATATGTTTTTATATATCTTTTGAAAATGATAGTTAGCCATCTCATAGACATGAGGTCTATTCAATATTAGTGTCTTCACACCATTTATTTGAATATTTGATTTATGTTTACATAATTTTATTTATGATAAAACTAGCTTTAATATAAACAATATCTGCATCTATCTCTCTCCCTCTGCACTTGCTCTCATAACATACAAAGCAGTTATTTACTCTTTTTTTTTTACTTTCATTACTTTCGATTGATTACCAATTTGAAAACTTAACTGTTTTCTATTAATGTCTTTAATTTCCATTTCTTTTATGTACCTTTTCTTAATTGGCAATCATTCTGAAATCAACGTGGCAGTCGCCGGACTTTTTTCTAGATGGTATTACTTTATTCCATAGGCAGGTCCCATTATGAGATGTTCGATAATTACATAATATCCCTATTTGTACATATACACAATCTAGATTCACAGTGCTGGTACTTTACATATATGTGAATATGAAAAAAATATATTTTTGGGGGCCATATTAAATTTCAAGATGGCAGCCATTTTGAAATTTAATATGTTGGTCTTTTCTTTTCCATTTCTGATGGTTGCATGGTAGTTCCTGATATCGAAAACATGGGCAACGGTCTTTGATTGATAGGTGTTGATGATATGAATATTGACAAAAATATCATTAATTTGGCGGCCATCTTGAAATCCACTATGGCGGCGCCATCTTACATAATTTCTGATAATTGCATGACACTCCCTGATATAGAAAACATGGGTAATGTAATTGGCAATGACATGTGCTGTAGATATGAATATGTTAGCTAAATTCAAATATTTTGGCGGCCATAATGGATTTCAAGATGGTGGCCCTTTGGAGGCGTTATTTTCGGGGGTCTTTTTTTTTTTTAATGATCTTTAGGTGTTATAGTATCACTGTGAGAAGTTTCATGTTTTTTTCCAGAAGTGCACGATTCTACCTGAAATTCAACTTTAGCTGCTCTACTATACATACGTCATTTCTAATACCTTTTCTATGAGACGCCAACTAGGTAAATTTTAATTTAAAATATGCATAGTAATACTAAATGTCGCTGTTTTCGTTATTCTGTAGAAACAGGGAGATCATAAAAACATATTTTTGAAATTTTGAGGGTATTAGACTAATTCCTTAATACCCCTCCGCTACGCCCCTGATTATATAGGCCTATATATTTATTATATTAGATTTATACTTGATTTGATTTGAATATAATATGTATATATATATATATTTATATATAATATGTGTGTATGAGCGAATATGAATAAATACTGACGGAAAATTCCACTGGTGTGTGTGTGTGTGTTTGTGAATTATTGGCTTACAAGAAGATGGTTGACATCCACCATTTCACCGGGCAGTGTTGCATTCCTTGATTCAAATAGAGTTTCTCTGTGAAGGTCATCCTTCTCAGATGACCAAATTACATCGAATGTGACATTTTGATATTCAGGATACTCGAACACACACAGCAGATAAAACCCACTGTACGTCTCCTCTAGATACAACAACGGCTGCTTATACATTTTCGGAGGCTGGGCTTTTAAACATAAAAATTATACTTATTACAATACATTGCAAAACTGTATGAATCTTTCCGTTTAGGGCGAAAATTTACATACAGTACAACCATTATTAAGGAGACACCTTTGTGCCCTTAATAGCAATGTCCTCTGAAGAAGGGTACCCCAATTAATAAGCAAAAACGTGAAATTGTCCCTTTACTATTTTATCATCTAATTAAAACTACAAAATGTTGTATAGGTCTATGTTTCCGATACTTCATATTTCTAGATCTGAGTGTTTTATTGATAGTAAAATATTGAGCTTTTTATTGAATGTAGAAGACAGAATAGCATGAATAGAGTAACGACTTAAGTAGAAGTCTATGTGCAGCTGAACGGTATACATTATTATTATTATTATTATTATTATTATTATTATTATTATTATTATTATTATTATTATTATCTATGGTCACTATGAGACAAGGCTTGCCTTTTAGCGCCTCGAGGTTGTGTCAACGTGAGGCACTATATAAATCCAGAATTAAAATTATTATAATTTATTCTAATTGTGATTCCAACAATGGCCTTTACTATTGTTTTCCATTCCTCTCATTAAAATTGTTTCCATGTAATTGTTGAATAAAGTTGAAATTTGATAAGTTGAATTGGAAAAAAAGGCGCAACGGAATCATAGTATCATTTAAAGCTTCCTTCCTACTGGAACGAAAGGTGCTTGTTCTCGGCTCGCAAGAATAAATTGGGAGAAAAAATAACATAAATAAATAGAACATAAAATAAAAACATGAGCGGATAAACAGCAGTTTGTGCCATGGCATTTTGATACAATAATAATAATAAAAAAACTGTCCCCTTAATACGGGTTAAATTTGATTGACCAGTTTGACTTAAGTGTTAGAAGATATTTTCCCTCTTTCACGGAAAAGTGTCCCTTTAGTAGAGGTGTCCCCTGAATAAGGGTATCCCAAAAGAGGGTTTTTACTGTATTAAAAAAAATCTTACTACATTAGACAGTCTTTCTTAAAAGTATTAGTTTGCAATGCTTAGGAGCAAAACTGCTACATTAGATGTCTAATATCAATGTTTTTGTTTCAACTAATATTACAATCTGGACACAATTTTCAAAAGTGACACATAAAGTAAAATTACCAAAACAATTCGGAGTGTATCCATTCAGAGAGGTTGTTCCCGATGGGCAAGGTGATTCTTCGCCTAAAATCAAGATAAATTGTATAGGTTATAATACAATTTAAATTTTATTTGCTAATCTGTTATTTTGGTTTCTTCTTTACACTAGGTATCATGTTCAGTAAATATCTGTTCTTCTATATTACCTAGTTTTGCTTTAATAACTAAGGCTACGTTCAGAATAGAAAATAAGCCAAGCCTACGTTGAGCCTGCCCGGCTTAATTTAAGTCTAGCTTAAATTTGCTGGGCGTTCAGACTAGCGGGATTAGCCAGGCGAGTATTTGTTGTAGCTAAGAAACGAGTTTCGAAAAAATGCGCTTAAAACGTACGCTCGATCACATAACACGTAATAACATCATTTTTTTTAACCTGAAGTCAACGCAAGACCCCTGCAACGAATAAATCCCAGGCTAGAAAAGTTAAACACGGTGGCACGCCCAGGCTAGTTACTATAGGAGCACAGCCCGGGTTGAAATAAGTCACCTGGTTCAGACTGGCACATGGATAATCCAGTAAGTTGAGCCGGGTTTTTCAACCTAGTCTGAACTCGGCCTAAGGCTCATAATGAGACTCAGGGAGTGGGGAGTCGTGAAATGAAATTCTACTGTCAAATTAATTGAACACAAGACCTTGAGATTGGAAGGCAAGCATCTTAACCACTCAGATTTTCATAACATACTGTACACCTCTATTAAGTTTAACGTGATTGATAGAATAATAAATTAAATAGTGCTTTGAGAAATATTTTTGTCCCCACCGTTGGTTCCTCTTGTTCTTAGACCTGCTTAGCTATGAGCAATTAAAATCAGATTTTAAAAAGTAGTGAATAAAGGATATTTTTTCTAAAACTACTGTCTATATAAAATAAATTAATATTTATTGATTATATCAACTAAATCAAGTAACTTCAATGTGAAAATAATAATTTGATTTTAAAATAAGCGCTATCATATCACCTAAACTATTGTTGGTGTAGTTCAACTACTGATTATGGAAGCAATTTTTTATGTCAACTTTAGCATCGAACATAATGTATTTATAAGCAATCTGTTCTACTAATTTATGCCAATTTCATATCAATTGTTGTATCACTAAAAGTTGATTAACATTACTAGTAGTCTTTTGAGAGTACGAGGCCATTTTTTTTCTGCTTCAGTTCTCGGACACCTCTTAACAATTGTTTTACCTATTTACATCAAACAAACACCCTGATTCAGTTCTCGGGCACCCTCATCATCAAACTTTAATTTTCGTCCAGATGACATATATTTGATATCTAAAGATATATAATATATAGAGTTATTTTCACTTTTACCTACTTATCGAGGGTAATGGTTCCTTCTATTATTTGGTTTATAATTGTGTTCATGCGCATACGCATATTCAGTATTAGATTTTACATGAGTTGTGTGACTTTTATATTTTAAAACTTGTTTCAATCTAGCTTTTAATTCTTTACGTCTCTCAACAGGATCTTCAGATAATGTTTTTTCCCATTAAATTCACACAAACCTACATATGGAATAATACGTTCCTTGTTTTTTGATTTACCCATATTTTTTTTAGTTTTAGATATAATTTTTAACCCGAAAATTAATTTTTTTTTTGTCCAATAGCGAAAGTATGAACACCATCTTCTGCTATGATACGTTTATCATCATTTGCAGACAGAGCTATTTTATTAACGGTTTCGGTATATATCTCATGTTTATGAGATCTAAAAACATTCATTTTTCTAAAGATGGTAAGAGGCTCCTCTTGAAAAAACCTTGCTTCCGCGAATGCAAACAGACAATCTTTATAGTCATCAAAAGTTATCTCTTTTTCAACAACCGATTTCTTAATACCCTTACATTTTTTATCTTCATCTCCATCGTGTATTTTTAAGGAATATAGTTTCGACCTCAACCCAACAAACGACTTAATAATCTTTCCACCAGCTTCATCCTTAAACATATCTAGAACATTTTTATTTACACATGTAGGTATCCCAGATGGATGTCCTCCACCATAGTTTTAAGTATCGAAGTTAGCTTAAACATCATTTCGATATATCTTTGTAAAAATCCTTAGTTTCAAGTTCATACATAAATGAATCTGTATCGGTGAATAACAACTTTGCCTTATCTCAATATTTAGGTTTGATATAGTTATAATGAAAATCGTACATATGATTTTTACTTAGATCCAAGATAGAGAAACCAAGGTATATAGGTTTATCGAAAACCATTTCAGTTTTAAGCATATGTATTAGCTACAAGATCATCATTAAACTTAGTTATATGATCAGAATTAGGTTTCTGCGTATGTTTCTTGGCAGACTCCTCATTATAAGCCAACTTGATATCGACTCTATTACGTATATTCTTCATCGTCTTCCCAAAGACAGAGTTGTTCATCAACTTGAAGAAATCTTTCTCTAAGTCATTTTCGCTTGTGATCACAATTTATTATTGAGATCGATATATTTCATCAATGGAGATTCCTAAAAAGCGATGACTCGATGTATTTTAGTTAAGTTAATTTTAGTTAATTTTAAACCTAGACTAAGATATAATTTTAATGTTTCATGTTGAACGACGTAATTACTTTTATCCTTCAGATTAGGAATTAGTTTCTCTGCATTCTTCCTAGAAAGTCTTTCTGGAGGTAATGGATATTCGTTATGATAATCGTATAGTTCCTTAGGATATTCCAGATCGACTTCTAGGATACATGGATTACTTTTTTTTCAAAATCATCAACCCATTTGAAATCATGAGTAGGAAGCGGTTGACTCATACGTTATATGAGTATTTCAAGAGCGGTGTTGATAGCACCAATCAATATATACAAAGTGGATTTGGGTCCATGAGACAGGGGATATCCAATCTTTTTCCCAACGGTCTAATGTTTGAGAAGCAAGTTCGAGAGGTTATTGAGAAGGAGGAGGGAATAATAACTCAACACAGAAACACACGGTCTAAGAAAAACAAGGCTAGAGAAAATAAAATTCTTAAGGTAAGGAATGGAAAAAGAGAGAAAAGAAGAGAAAGGCATCCGCTAAACGAATGATGGAAAAACATTTGGCTGCTGAGCGACGTAGATTAGATAGGCAAGATTAGATTATGAATAGAGGAGTTAGACGGAAGGAAAGGATAAGACAGAGTCGAATAAGGGAGGAATTGGAGGATAGCGTTGTTACGGAGGGAGCGTTGAACGGATTTATGCAAGATGTTAAAATTCGCGGGCGGTCTAGGGTTGATCTTTCCACCTATCTCAAATTTACAAGCCCAGGATGGATTATTATATTTTTTTTAACAGGTGAGTAATAATTTGTATTATAATATATATATCGTGGTCGAGGTTGGCCCTCCTGTTAGATTTTTGACCAAGTAAACCACAGACTCCCTGCTGCTCAGGTCAAGAAACTGACTTGACATAGGCCTAGCAAGCCTGATTAGGGTCGACGAAATAAATCTAGGCACTTTTTATCCAACTCTATAATATTTTTAGGTAAAGGTAGAAACTTGCTATTATATTCATACCCAATTTTTTCCAGTACCCTAGCCAATACGTATTGAAAGTTGGGAAAGTTTTTCGCTTTATATTTTTCAATGTAAGCTTCGTGAAAAAGTCTAAATTCTTTTTTAATTTCATCAATATAGGATTCGAGACCTTCGTCCACATCCTTATTTGAGTATAGACCATATATTATTAGTATACCTAACCTTGTAATTTAACTTTTTAAGGGTATACTGAACTGAACTGAGGGTGGCAAGACCGTTAAATTTTCCCTAACCGTATCTACATCGACTTTAACTTTGTCTTTTCTTGTAAATACCAGACTAGCTTTACCCATATATTCATCGATGCTATTTTCGAATCGTTTAGAAATGTCGTAGGCGTTATTAACTCTTTTAGTATAATGGTTAGAATCAGTAGTAACCGAAGGCCTATGTTGTTGTATAGTACTACAATTTATGCATACCCACTCGCATTCGTTCATTTCAAAGGGGGGTTCCAGGCAACAAAATGGTTTCTTAGAATTAGCTTTTTCCTCGGGTGGGATTAAATCACTAACGTTTGAAAACAATTCCCATTCCAACATTAAAACTTCATAGTATTTAGTTTTTATTTCCTTTATCAGCGATTCGTTTGTGAGCCGTAGGAACAAGTCTCTTTGTTTTCACATCTCAGACGTTTGTGTAACCTTATTGCATTCATTTTTTAATAATATATAAAAAATGATTACTTAAATCGGTGGCAATTCAGAGTTAGGGGGTATTCTAATTAGTTCTTCACGTACGAAAGATCTAGTCAACGCAGGTGAATCCCTTTGTTTCTGTTTGAAAGGTCTTTGTATTAAATGATAAATTACAGGTTGGTATTTTTTAATCCACACGTCTTTTATTTCGTATGTGTTAGCGGACGATATTGGATCGGTGGCTCTTATGTCTATCTCTCGTGGCTCTATATACTTATAATGTTCGCCTTGTAAATACAAATATCTCACTACACTGCTTTTATCTAGAACGGGTTCTTGGTAACCTACAGGTCTGTGATAGGCTGAAGAAGGCTTCTGATACACCATGCTAGCGTAATAGCCTTGCTTGGAGTTAATGTAGCCCCTTCGCTATCGGATATTAATCTTCGTGATTTAAAGTATTCACTATTATAGGTAAATTTTTCTTCCACTCTCTAACCCATTCACTTACCGGTAAAAACAACTCCTTTTTCTGCTGGTCCTTGTATAGCCTTTCAGCCAACGTCCTGTTAAACCGCTCAACCACCCCCTGGGTCCTGTGTACGTTCTTTTCGCCTATTCTTATAAATACATTATTTTCCTCTATAAGCTTTTTGGTCTCAACCTTAAATTATTTTCTTCCAACTACCTGTAATATTTTTCGAAAGTTCAAAGGTGTTTTTTCGTAAATGTCCTCGAAAGCTTTTAATTTTAGCAACTGTTTTCGCATCTCTAAATTGGAGTTCTTCAGCAGCTTTGTACCTAGAACTTACATCGATAACCGTTAATGCATATTTATAGGGTTTTCATCGATAGTTTTTCTCTCTCTCAAGTCCTTATCTTTTGGTAAATATAATATATAAGCCTGATGAATCTCGTTTGTAGTTAAAGTCTCAAATCCGCCAGCTCTAGGCCTAGGTTTGTAGTCAGGTCTGGGGATGTATATCTGCCAAAATACTTGTTAAGAAAAGAAAATCCTTGGCTTCCTTCTCGTTAACTTTAGCTTCTTGAGCAAGCCTATCTATTGCTACTTTACCCTTCCATTTGTTCTGAGGTTTCTAATATATTTTTTCTCAACCGATTCATTTTCTCTTTTTATTTTCGAAATAAATAATTATTCCACCCGTGACCAAAGTTAGCCCTCCTAAAACAAAGTAAATTTCGTTATCCTTTTGTTCGGGTGATTTCTAGTAAAAATCGCTAAATTTATGTTCCGGGGGTAAATTTAAATTTTGTAGCGCGTAATCCATTTCCTCGAAAGTATACTCGGCATTTCTCTGCCTCCCGTCTTTATCGGTAATAAAATCCATTTTCGCTTGCCTAATATTGTTCCTTGACTTTGTTGTATTCTTCGAGAACTTTATCTTGACGAGCTCTCTCACTATCTCCCCCTTCAAGTCGTCTTCCAAGTATATTTGTGCCTGTGAAGGCAACGGAATTAAGTATAGCCCCCTCTGAGCATTATTGCAGCAGCAGCCATTTTTATTTCATTGAGAATAAAAATGTATTTAGGTCATATTGTTATCGGGGAGCCAACCTTGCATGTAGGCCTAGTCTAGAGTCTGAGAGAGCGTTTATCCGGCCCAGCCTAGGGGCCCTACTAGCTTAGCTAGTAAAAAAACACGACAGCAGCAGTTGCTAGCCAAGTTGCGCATTTCCTGAAGACAGACGACAGACCCCACGGCACTAGCCTAGGCTTCATTCCTAGTGATAATAGAGGGGTGAGGTGAGGGCCTATCGTCTGTCTGTGGGGCCGGAACACGCACGCACGGCCTTTTTTTAATCAATACATATTTATTCAACATATATTTTTATTTCAAATGGTTGTTTTTCCATCGTTTTTCCCTTGGAAAGCTCAGGATTTCTTGCAAATATGTTTACTGGTACAACAAAAACATACCTTTTTTAAAATATAAATTTGATTGCATTATGACTTTTTATATGTGTCCCTACCACTGATTTACTTGTGAACATTGGTAAATTAGGGGATGTGTATAAGAGACAGAGTAAAAATCGCTAAATTTATGTTCCGGGGGTAAATTTAAATTTTGTAGCGCGTAATCCATTTCCTCGAAAGAAACAAATAATTTTTTTATGGGGCCTAACCTGGCAGATAAACACTACAACAAGGATACCAGCCGGGAAAAAATGATGTGTGGGAGGGAAATATATAATGCTTATATCAGGCGTAGCCTGAGATTTAACATGGCCTGGTCATTACTAGGCTCTATGAAAGGAACATGTTTTGGCAGAGTCTACTCTCAATGTATCATCATAAAAATTATAAATAGTGTAGCCTAATACTGAATAACAAATTGTAGTTATTGAAACAGTGGATGAATAATGCAAATTATAAATTACATACCCAAATTATTTATACAAGTAACAAAAATAATTGATAAAATTAATATTTTTATTTTACTTATCATTGTTTAGCCAGTTCATAGTTTGCTGAACAAATTATACTGACTAGTAATATAATTATAAAAACTTTATAGGCATACAAATTTTATGACTATGTGATGCAGTATTTGAAAAATATTTTATTGTATTACAATTTACTATAAGCAGAATTTTTTTTATTTTGTTTCAGAAGTACTGGAAACTTATCGATAGATGATGAAACAATGCGAACACCTACTGCATAACATTGAAGTCGTAGTAGTTGCTGATAAAGTAGAGGGAACCCTACAAAAGACAAAAAAATCCCCCAAGTTTACCACTAAAAAGG